GCCGGATGAAGTCGATTTCACGCGCCGCCAGCCAGTCTTGTGTGCTCTTCGCTCTATGAGCTGGCGCCGAATTTTATTGGAATACCCAGTGCCTGTTATTGAACATGGTATGAGAAACAGGTTCCACAAGGTTCGTCAGGACTGTATTTTGATACACAACTGCATTAGTTTTTACACCTTTCTCACAAAAATGTACCTCTGTTAAGCCCCAATAAGAAACTCCCAACCATACCATGAGCGAGGATGGAAAATGACCTCGTTGGACACGCGGAATACGGTTGCTCGCTTCTTCACTACTGTGTGCGTACACCTTATCATTTTGTTTGTTGTAGCTCTCTTCTACGGTAAAAATTTTTTCATCCGAAAAAAGAATTTCCCGATATTTTTTTCCCGCGTACCGCTTCAACAAAGCGCGGCATCTCTTCAGTCTCAGGTCCATTAGACGAGCATTCAAACGATGTCCTGTTTTTCTTCGATATGCCCGAAGCCCTAAGTCTTCATTTAACACCCTTTTCACCGTGGTTCTGCTTAACCCTATCTGAAGGGCCAACAGTTTCTGCTTACGTTTGGGATTTCTTTGAATTCGCGCCTTCACAGCTTTTATCACTGCTGGAGTCCTAACAGACCGAGGGCGACCACTTCTTGACCTGTCATCTACACTAGAGTCTTCATTGTATCGTTTGATGGTACGATAAACGAATCTTTTGGTTATATTCAAGTTTTTCAGTATGTTAAAAATTTTAAATGGCGCGTAACCGCAACGATGCAACGCAATAACTGCAACACGGTCTTCTTTAAGCGTCCACTCCATATTTAAAAATGAGTGAAAATTCTAAAAGTATACATTTTTATTTTCATGAACAATTCGAAATTCGAATTCAATAAACTTTTTTGTGGCCAGCATTCTAAAACAAAAGTTTTTACTGTGTGACAATAGTTATATTTGAGAATTGCAGCGTAGGCAATACTCTCAATACTCTGAATCTATGACTAGGGAGGTACGGTACTATCTGATACTTTTAAGATTTTTGTTTTACCCTAAATTTCCCAGAAACTATACATAAAATCTCTTTTGAAAATTCCTTCACTTAGGGCGAACAAGTATAAAAAAAACATTCCTTTGCATATTTTATTACCATAAATCAAACTAACAGTCAAGTACATATTTAGAACAGTCAAAGGCCAATACAACATTACGCATTTTCGCAGTACTGAATATCGCACTAGTAGACACCAAAAAAGCAGTTGTTAGCTAGAATTCCTGACTTAGTAAGAAGTATTCCGTTAAGGGTTTCTTTAGTCAGCTTGTTTCTATTGTGAGTTGAACAATCTTTCGCATTCTGTATTTGAAGATAGAACCTTTGTAGAGATATCACCACATCGAGGTTTTCATAAAAAAAACAAAGTTTCACTCAAGCTTAATCCAGTAAAGTTCGCTAAGTAAGCGCTTAGCTGTTCTCTATAGTTATTGTTTTTTGTTAAGATTTGCCTGTTTTTAGGTATCATTAAAAAAACTCGGGGATAACAATCAATAATATGTTTATTGTATTGTGGATAATACTTGGGTAATAACTCTTCGGCCCGTTGTGTATGTTGTACATGAGGAGAGGTGAATGAAGTTAGCCCCTCAAAAAATTTTTTTTTTCCTATTTTATACTTATTTTCTATTAATTCGTTTGTTCATCATTTGTTCATGATTGTTCACTGTTAATAATTGTTTGTTCTGCATTTATTAATTTAAAAAAAATAATTAAAAATATACCTACAAGTTAGCCCCTCTAATGCAATTTTTTATATTTTTTCATCCTTAATGACTCGTAAATATTCATTTTCGATTGTTATTATACAAAACACGTTTGTTATCTTTCGAAATTACTCGTTTTTTGTTTAATTTACTATTTTTATTAGTTGAATAAATGTATGCAAAATATGTGTACTGCGCATGCGTCAACTATAATGCCTAAACTTTCTACGCGGTTTTAATCGTGAAAAAAAAACAAATATAAATCCTGAAGGAGCAATTAATTAGTATACAGTTTAATTAAAAAAATTAAAAAATAAATAAATGAAATAATGTGCATTGGCGTTAAGTTAGACCAAATACATTTTTTTCATCCTCTTACCTATCGTATTAAAATGTTATTTTACTAATGTTAGGAATATAATTTCGACTGTGTAAAAAAGTTATTATAACGTATACCTATATTATCTCTTGAAAGATAAATAATGAACATATTTACTTATTTGTTNATTAAAAAAATTAAAAAATAAATAAATGAAATAATGTGCATTGGCGTTAAGTTAGACCAAATACATTTTTTTCATCCTCTTACCTATCGTATTAAAATGTTATTTTACTAATGTTAGGAATATAATTTCGACTGTGTAAAAAAGTTATTATAACGTATACCTATATTATCTCTTGAAAGATAAATAATGAACATATTTACTTATTTGTTATCACCTATGTGAACTCCCTATCTTTTTTATACCTTCATAACGATAAGTAGGAGGATGGAAAAAATGTATTTGGTCTAACTTAACGCCAATGCACATTATTTCATTTATTTATTTTTTCATTTTTTTAATTAAACTGTATACCAATTAAATGCTCCTTCAGCATTTATATTTGTTTTTTTTTTCACGATTAAAACCGCGTAGAAAGTTTAGGCATTATAGTTGACGCATGCGCAGTACACATATTTTGCATACATTTATTCAAATAATAAAAATAGTAAATTAAACAAAAAACGAGTAATTTCGAAAGAGAACAATCGAAAATGAATATTTACGAGTCATTAAGGATGAAAAAATATTAAAAATTGCATTAGAGGGGCTAACTTGTAGGTATATTTTTAATTTTTTTTTTTAAATAAATAAATGCAGAACAAACAATTATTAACAGTGAACAGTCATGAACAAATGATGAACAAACGAATTAATAGAAAATAAGTATAAAAAAGGGAAAATAAAATTTTTTGAGGGGCTAACTTCATTCACCTCATGAGGAGCGCTCACAATCAAGGTCTATGTTCTTGAAGGTCTTATCTATGACCGTAAGGGACAGCGTGACCAGATTTAGTAGATTTCTACTTTTTTGGTAGATTTTGAGGTACCGGCAACAGAATTTAGTATGTAAAAATTATTTGGTATATTTTAGTAGAATTCACGCTTTTCAGTTATTCTAGTACTTTTTTGGCATTTTGGATAAATTCGGGGTATTCCCTCTTTCATCGAATGGATTGTAACTATTTAATTTTCATTCTTTTCTTACCATTCGTACCGTGAGCATAGTGTGATAGACTAGTGGGAATTCCTTCAGTGAGAATTTTTATAATTGAGCTTAAAATGAAACATAAATATATATAAGGATATCGCGATGTCCCACTCATCACGATATCCTTGTAGTTGTAACAGAAAACATGCAAATTGTTGACAAAGAATATATTAAAATTAGATGTTTCCGTGTCTAATTTAATGTCAACTTCCAGTTCGACGTCTGAATCTTATATGGTGGATACATTTTGGAGTGAAGTCAGCGAAATCTGTGATGCGAATAGCAAGCCAAGGTATGGCAATTTGTCCCGATTTGTGAAGCAAATGACTATACTACCCTTGTCAAACGCCAAAGGAGAAAGAATAATTTCTAATATTAATAAGATTAAAAATCAAGATCGAAATCGATTTAATAATAAGAATGTTGCTGCAATAATGCATGGAAAAGAGGGGCTACGACAGTTGAAAGGAGGATGTCACACATTTGATCCTGACAGAAGTATTATCAAGTTAATGGATTCAAAACAACTTTATGAAAATGTTAGCCAACATAAAGACGAAGGATTTTAAGTTTAAGTTTCATTTTATTTTTTTATTTTTTTTTATTTAGAATTTCATTTAAAAAAAAGAACTTTGATATTGTTGGAGTTTGAATATAAATGTAATGGCCAGCAACACTTGAAACATGATTACAGATTTCGAATATTACAATTATTTTAAATGTTTAAAAAGCAAATGATTGTATTCTCGTAATGCCGGTCACTCACATGCGCGCAAATATTCGTACATTGTACGAATGTTTGCGCGCATGTGAAGGGCCGTCAAACATTCATTCGCAAACTTAGCGGCTGTGCAAATGGGTTCGGTACTCAATTTGCGAACCCGTTTGCGCTTCCTCCTACACTTGTTTACGAATGTCTCACGAATTTCTCCTCCTCCTTTTCGTCAATAAAACATTGAAGCGAAAAAGAGTTTTGAATTATTTCCCAGACATCATTAATAGCCATGCTGTTTTTATGGAGTTTCTTTTGATGAAGATACGCTACACGGTAGACGTCACGATCTATGAAAATAGCGAAACGTCCGTTGTCTTCGCAATCCTGGGCGCAACTGGTCACACGAATGTGTGGGAGACTACGCGAAGGATCGCGGTTCGCGCGCTTTGATGTCTGTTAAAAAACCGACACAGCTTGGAAAACCACGAATGCAGCGAAAACTTTGCATAATCATTTGCAAATGTCGTCCTACACTTGCGGGTTTGCGTATTCGTGTGAATGTGAGTGACCGGTGTAAGAAAAAGTCAGGACTTCTCATCTAGACACGGTCAAAGAAATATGTAAGAGTTTTATAAAAATATAAAGATTATAATTTTATAATGGTGTAACAGTGTTCAAACTATCTGCACTATAATTATAATGAAGCAGTGTGTTTTTAAATAGTCCTTCATCACCTACAGAACCCATCCCCTCAAATTTAACCGTCCAACAGATATCTTGAATTAATGGTGGATTCTTTGTTATTTTTGTTATTTTATAGTTTAATCAAGGAAATATTCATTTTTGTACGTTGTAACACGACAGCAAAAAAGTATAATAGATTTTTAGTATTTCTCGTTCTCTTTTGGTAGAATTCAGTAAATTTTAACCTCCACTAGCAGTAGATTTGTCAAATCAAATCTGGTCACGCTGGTAAGGGAGTACCATTCCCCCATTTCCCCCCTCTAATACACTATAATCGTCGTCCTCCTGATGTACGGTCGTTGACAAGAGAAGCTCGATATAAAAAAGTAATGAAATAAATCGAATTACTCATTAACCTTCTGCATAAAGAGTAAGCAATGGGAAGTACAACTACCTTATCAAATGAACATGCGGACGCTTTCAGTTCAATAAATGAAAGACCGGTGGATGATATTTCACTGGAATTTTTCTACAAACCTCATACTATAACGTTATTAGCTGTTTCGATTGCTTCAGTTATTTATACAGCATTTGTCAGGTATGTCCGATTGTTTTTTCGTAATTTACTAAAGATAATAAATATATGTTAAGTGATGTAATCCACTAAGAAAACGACTATAACCTTATAAATAAAAAATACTACAAAGAGTAACAAATAAAATTCTCTCTAAAATATAAATACGATTAATTGTAAATTATAGTATTCTTAATCAATGGATTATATGCTGCGAACTCAAACATAGTCTGTTTTACCTTGGTACCAATGTATAAAATAAACACTAAATGTTAAGTCAAGTTATCATACCTATAATTCACAATCAATTTAGTTCAGACACTGTCTGTGAACAAATTTGCAGACTCACAATCCACCTTAATAATAACACTATAAGTTATGTATATGTATTAATTTTTAGTTATTGTATGTATTGGTAGGCAGCGGCTTGGCTCTGCCCCTGGCATTGCTGAAGTCCTTGGGCGACGGTAACTACTCACCATCAGGTGGGCCGTGTGCTCGTCTGCCTACAAGGGCAATAAAAAAAAAAGTATTAACACTTGAACCTTAGCCTATCTATAGAAATGAACATGTTTCTCTCTTGTGGTCCATCTATTTGCTGCTCTGTTTTCAGTCAGTCATACTGATTTTGCCACCAAGTGAAACTTAATATAAAGATATATAAGCTGTATAGATAATATAAAACTTGCTGTTCATTAAATAAAATATAATGTATTTATTAACTAAATGATAAGTACTTTTACTTTTCAATAAAGAATCCACTTTGATTATGTAAACATGGCAGTTATGTTGGGAGTAGTCATTGAAGTGATGATGATATAAAAAGATGAAACTTTGGCAGAAGCATTGTATTGTTTGTTTCTACCAAATTAATTCAATTGCAATTTTGATACTTTGATGTTACTCTACACAAATTATCTATTGCCTCAAAAAAATAATAATTATTCATTGTGAAAATAAAACAGTTTTATGTTTAGTATTTTGGATTTTGGAAGTCATAGACATTATTGAAACGATTACTACAGTATAATCTCATGGTTTTTATTTTCATTATATTATTTCCAATGTTTCGAATTTCCCTAAAAAAATTCTTGGTCACCATTTTGTGTCCAAAATCACCAAACAGTATATTAATTAAACGTTTCATTTTTTCCAGAGATGAAACAAATACACAAGATAACTTATGGTCTGGAATTTGCTGTGTAATTTTCTTTTTCCTTATAATATCAGTCCTCACATTCCCTAATGGCCCATTTACTAGACCACATCCAGCTGTATGGAGAATTGTTTTTGGGATGTCAGTACTATATCTTCTTGCACTGTTGTTTCTTCTATTTCAAAGCTATTCCACTGTTTATGAGATAATGTATTGGGTGGATCCTAATTTAAGAAATTTTCACATTGACATGGACAAGGTATTTAATATTTTTTTACAAATTTCCCAGTAATCATTAAGAGTTCAAAAAAAGTTTGAAAAATATAATATTTTATATATTTGCTAGAATTTTTTTCTACCTAAAAATCTATTTAGGTATACATAAAATATTAAGTGTCACATAAACTTTTTTAAATATTACAAATAGAATTATTGTAAGTACAATTAAATTTTGTATATTACAGGAGTATGCTGTTAACTGTACAGACATAACTTTAGCAAGAGTGTGGTCTCATGTTGATGTGTTTGCATGGGGCCACTTTTTAGGTTGGGCTTTTAAAGCCCTACTATTTAGGCATGCAGGCTTATTGTGGGCTATTTCAATAATGTGGGAAATAACTGAGATAGCATTTGCACATTTGCTCCCGAATTTCAAGGAGTGTTGGTGGGACTCTCTTATTTTGGATGTTTTGATTTGTAATGGGTTGGGTATATGGTTTGGTCTCAAAATATGTAAAGCTTTAGAAATGCGAGCATACAAATGGGTCAGTATCAGGTTAGTAAAAGGATTTTTGTTTTGTTTTCCTTAAACATTTTGAACTTTGAACTATCTTTTGTTAAGCAGCTTCTGAGATCCATAGACAATATAATAATAATAATGTAATGTTCCAAACAGATTGAAGCTATCTTTGCATTGAAATATTAATTCTTAGTTATACATTTAATATATAAACAACTATACAATAACAAAGAAACACATTTTCAATGATTTGCAACAAGCTTAACTGGCTTCACGTGGACCTGAATACAGTAATATGTGTACAGAGAATCAGTAAAGCCAACTATCATTATTGGTACCTCATGCATAACCATGCATAACTCATACATAATAAATATGCAATAAAAAGGATATATATATATAAATAGAGATATTTAGGGAGAGTTACATAGACAATTAAAGTGAACATCCTATTATTCCAGATGGAAATTGTGCGTGTAGCATTGATAAACTGCAATGTTACACATTGTTAAATATCCAAAAATATCTAAATGCTATCATTATTGCTACTACTTGCAAAATTTATTTTTACATAATTCCAATTCTATTCTAGAGATATATCTTCTACAACCGGAAAAATTAAAAGAGCTATACTACAGTTTACTCCTGTGCAATGGACTCCTGTGCGTTGGTTAGATCCCACAAGCACATACATGCGTTTCTGTGCTTTGAGCCAACTTGTTGTGTTTTGGCAAATTTCTGAATTAAATACTTTTTTTCTTAAACATATATTTGAAATGCCACCATCACACCCACTGGTAATTGCACGGCTCTGTCTGATAGGCGTAATTGTAGCTCCATCTGTAAGGTAAGTTTTTTTTTATTGCTTGGTTGGACGATATCACGGCCCACCGAATGTTAAGTGGTTACCGGAAATCATAGACATCTACATCTTAAATGTCGCCACCTACCTTGAGGTATGAGTTCTAAGGTCTCAGATTTTAAAGTACAACAGCTGCCCCACCCTTCAAATCGAGACGCATTACTGCTTCACAGTAAAAATAGGCAGCGTGGTGGTACCTACCCGCGTGGACTTTCAAGACGTTCTACCACCAGCAATTACGTAAATTATAATTTTGCGTGTTTGATTTTTATAACAAAATTTTATTCCTTCACTGTGGAAGTCAATCGTGAACATTTGTCAAGTATGTATTTCATTTAATCCTTTCCGCAGGCAAGTATCAATAAAATTTGATACTTGCCTGCGAATACCGGTGCATCGCTAGATACAAATGCACCGGACGTTTTATCTTTTTTTCCCCTATCTACTCGCTGGTACCCTATGAGGCTATTCCAGCTACGCCCTGAAGGGTAAGTGAGCTCACGGGCTCAACCTAAGAGAATTTGCTAACACTAGCCTTAGCAAGATCAGGGCTTCCCAGAATCAGAATACAAATCGTCGTGGCCTAAAGGATAAGACGTCCGGTGCATTCGTATATAGCGATGCACCGGTGTTCGAATCCCGCAGGCGGGTACCAATTTTTCTAATGAAACACGTACTTAACAATTGTTCACGATTGACTTCCACGGCGAAGGAATAACATCGTGTAATAAAAATCAAACCCGCAAAATTATAATTTGTGTAATTACTGGTGGTAGGACCTCTTATGAGTCCGCACGGGTAGGTACCACCACCCCACCTATTTCTGCCGTGAAGCAGTAATGCGTTTCGGTTTGAAGGGTGGGGCAGCCGTTGTAACTATACTGAGACCTTAGAACTTATATCTCAAGGTGTGTGGCGCATTTACGTTGTAGATGTCTATGGGTTCCAGTAACCACTTAACACCAGGTGGGCTGTGAGCTCGTCNTTATGAGTCCGCACGGGTAGGTACCACCACCCCACCTATTTCTGCCGTGAAGCAGTAATGCGTTTCGGTTTGAAGGGTGGGGCAGCCGTTGTAACTATACTGAGACCTTAGAACTTATATCTCAAGGTGTGTGGCGCATTTACGTTGTAGATGTCTATGGGTTCCAGTAACCACTTAACACCAGGTGGGCTGTGAGCTCGTCCACATAAAAATAAAAATAAAAATCTACCACCAGATCGGAATCGCGACTCACTGAGAAGATTCGGCGAGAAACTCAGTGGGCTGTGTTTATGGGTTAGTTCTCTCGTCGAACGTCGTCAACGAGGACGGTGACCGGTGCTTGAGGGTCTTAAAAGCACCGAGAGTGAATCCGGGGGATCCGACAAGACATGTTTCTCGTTGCCCCGTCGCGGTCGGCTATTTAATTAGCGGCAGCCACGATTTGAGGGTTTTCGTGTCGCGCCGCTTTGTCGAAGTAGCGTTGTGACGCTTCCTTAAAATACTTACGTATTGGTACTAGTTTTAGGTCGTCGTGAAAATCTATATTCCATAATATTCCTCACATACCACGGTGCTCCAACGGCTATCCTGTAGAAACGGGATTGGATGACCTGGAGAGAGTTAATGTGTGTATGGGCCGCGTGAGCGAACACTACACTTGCATAGGTCCTGATAGAACGAATGCAAGTTTTGTAGAGTGTCACCTTGTTATGAAGGGAGAATTTACTTGCAGATCGTGAGGTAAAGAACTCGGTCACGTACTGACTTAATGTGGGGCCCGAATGACATCCCCCTATCGAGAGTGACACCTAACTATTTAGCCTTCGAAGCCCACAGTATGGGCTGGTCAAAGATTTTAACGGCGGGAATAGAGTTAGCGTGCCTAATTGGTGACGAGATACTAGCATTAGTCCCGGAAGGTGACCCCTTTTGAAGAGCACGGCTGTACTTTTCGTGGAGTTGATGTCAGTGCGCTACTTTTTTTTTTATTGCTTAGATGGGTGGACGAGCTCACAGCCCACCTGGTGTTAAATGGTTACTGGAGCCCATAGACATCCACAACGTAGATGCGCCACCCACCTTGAGATACAAGTTCTAAGGTCTCAAGTATAGTAACGACGGCTGCCCCACCCTTCAAACCGAAACGCATTACTGCTTCACGGCAGAAATAGGCGGGGTGGTGGTACCCACCCGCGCGGACTCACAAGAGGTCCTACCACCAGTAATTACGCAAATTATAATTTTGCGGGTTTGATTTTTATTACACGGTGTTATTCCTTCACCGTGGAAGTCAATCGTGAACATTTGTTGAGTACGTATTTCATTACAAAAATTGGTACCCGCCTGCGGGATTCGTACACCGGTGCATCGCTTCAACACGAATGTACCGGACGTCTTATCCGTTAGGCCACGACGACTACCACTTCGATGACGACTACTTCCGGAACCATTGTCCTAAATTGGTGGCCGCGATCTGGGGCTTATTATGCATGAACGAAATCTTCCTACTCGAGTAGTAGATAGCCGTATCATCCGTGAAAAGGACACCAAGTGGGTCGCCGGTGACCAGGGCATATCGTTAAACAGGTTAAAAAGTAGCGGGGAAAAACGGAGCCTTGCGGGACTCTGGCTGAAATATGTAGCGAGAGAGAACGAGTTCCCTTGACTCGATACCGAAACGAACGGCTGGACAAGAAATCTCGTATGATGAGCACGAGAATTTCTGGCACGCCCATGTTATACAGTTTGTAAATTAAACTGTTGTGCGAGACTTTGTCGAACGCCCTCGCGATATCGAAGAAGAGGCCGCGTGCCGGGGGGACGGATCTGCGTCTATTTAGCTCTACTAAGATGTGCTCCGTAAGGCGGTGCACTTACTGAATGCACGAGTGTTTCGCGCGAAACCTCTTATCCTTTAGGCCATGGCGACTTCATAATAAAATTAAAATTTATTAAATTTGTTTTCAAATGAAATAAATCGTTTGTCTTAATCAAATGAAAGAGCTATTTAATAATTATATGGCAAAAAAATACCTTTTGGGTTGAAACATTTTAGTGCTAAACCCTATTGCAGAATTTAAGCTTTGAAATCAACTACTTTCAGACAGTACTACACATACGTGACTGATCCAAAATGTAAAAGAGTTGGAACACAGTGTTGGGTTTATGGTGCAATAATGGTTACTGAATCAATGTTATGTATTAAAAATGGAAAAGAACTCTTTGGTCAAGCTCAAGTATGCAATGTTATCATATGGCTAGTTATCCAAATGTTAGTGTCCATAGGATGTGTCTATGGGATGGTGTTATACCATCGTTATTTTGAGGTAAGTTAAATTTAAATAAAATTTTTTTTTTGCAATTCTTAAATCTCGTCCAGATGAATCTCAATCACTTCCCATTTACGCCAAATTTCTAATAATGAGCTTTCTATCTATATTAGATAAAAAAAGAATATTAAAATAGTTAATTTTTTGAATAATAATAAAATATTTCGTTAAAATGGCAAATTTATTTATAATAATGGACAATACAGCCGTAAATTTATATAACAGTAAATATAAATGATTTTGTATGACGCATTTTTGTGGTACAGAAGAGCCATTTTTATATTTTCGTGTGTGCAGACCAGTGTACGTCCCATCTGATGTTGAGTGGTCCCCGTAGGACCTGGACATCAGCAATTCCAAGGACAGCCCAGCCGCTACTGCCGCTGAGGACTCTCCTTAAACCTTGTTTGACGAAGGAAGTGTCAAAATGCCCTGGGTGGTCTTTGACAGAAAGTATGTGTTACTTACCGTTATTTACACATAAAATCCTATAATACTACCAGCAGTTTTATACCATTCGAAAAATATTTCAATTTTTACAGTCTACAAAGGAGTCAGCTGGTGACAGTCCAAAAAAAGCTAACTAAGGGTCTAGTGTACATAGTAAGTACTTTAATTTTAAATTATTTAAATCTAAAAATAAAATTATTTTATGAACTGACTTTCTATTTATTCTATGCATTCATATTAATTTGTATTTATACATACATATAAATAAAATTGGAGTGTCTGTTTCTAATATTGAAATAACCGCTTTTTACTACATATGCATAAGAATATATTATATACGGTACATACACCAAAATAACATTTTTTACAATTTTTGTCTGTCTGTTTGTTCCGGCTAATCTCTGGAACGGCTGGACCAATTTTGATGAGACTTTCACTAATAGGTAGCTGATGATATAAGGAGTAACTTAGGCTACTTTTTTTAGACTAGCTTCGCCCCGCGGCGTCACCCGCAGTTATTGTCGTACCGCGCGCAACATGGCGGGCTTCGCCTATCAATAATTAAATTTAATGTTTCCGAAGCGAAGCGAGGGCGGGTCGCTAGTAAAATAATATAATTATAAATTTATGTACCTAAGTATTTAAGAATAATTATCTTGTAATAATCATCGGTTTATCCTTGCAGTGAACACTCCTACATTTGTTTGAGATTATAATATACAGTCATTATTGTTTTATTTCAGATTTTACTCAGAAGATTTGACAGTGTATATTTCTATGGACTTTCGTAACCGCGTAACATTCGGTGGCCGTGAGATCGTCTGTAGATCTACGCTAATAAAATTAGAGTAATAAAAATAGCCAAAAATTATACTACATACCTGCGTATGTAGTTTTCCTCAATATGTTGTATGTCTATTAATTTATTGCTAGTTTTATTGAATATTAATATGAATATTAGTTTTATTGAATTGTATAATAGATCATAGATATAAATAATATCTAAACATTATTAGAAATCTGAAGAATAAACCACGCCTTCTATATTGACTTACGCAACTGGAGTGGAGGAACAAAAAAAAATTCATTAAAAATGAATAAGTTTATTAATTTCCTAGTTTTCAATATTAAAAAAGGAACGCCTAATATATCCCAAGGATCGTTCGTGTCCGAAATTCGACCTACATCAGTGACACCCTAAGTTTTGGTTTAGTTTTATGCATACAGGATAAGATGGTACTTAACTTAAAATATAGATTTTGTTGTTGTTAAAAAATTCAATACACGCAACAGAGCTATTGTTGTATTTGAAATGTGATTTTTTTACCAAACGTAAAGGATAAATTAAGCATTAAAATTTTATTTATAAATCTTAAAGATGTAGTAGAAATGTACTTTTAATATTTAGGTAAATATCCAAATTTCAAATAAACTTTGGAAAATTAAAAGTAGTTACTCGTATTACCTATAAAGGTTTTAATTGAAATATGACCAGCTCTTTCGTAGTGCTCTATATTTAATTTAATTGATAAGTCTGCGTGGACTGATACCACCGCATTGATTTATTTGCCGCGAGCAATCTCTCGGGCTGAAGGAGGCGACATCGTCGTTAAGTAATGCATTTGAGACTAATCTAGAGGCTCAAGGACAACTTTTTTCTCATTGTATTGTCTATGTTAACAACTCAATATCGGGTCGGCCATGAGTTAGTCTCCCTATTCACGCTATTCAAATCACAGAACACTATGATTAAAATAGCCCAACCGTGTTTTAAAGCATTACACATTACTCTCTAAAAATATGCTTTTCACGTTAACCGCACTCTCTTGCAACGTCTGTCTCGATAATATGCGTTGCAGCTATAGCGTTATCATCCCCAATTAAATCACCTCATTAAGGAAATAAAATACTTTAATAGTCGAATAATTATAAATCGAATTGAATTTCAAATAATCTTTTTTATCCTGATGCTGTAGTTACTACCAGCATCTGTTAAGAATGTGAGACCAAAGTAATAAAATTATTGTATTAACATAATAAAATGTAAAGAATCCAGTTACGTACATATATAGCTAGATAAATAAAAGTCAAATACAGGTCAAGCTAATAAAAGCCTGTTAAAGTAGAAAAGGCTGGCATAAAGCTTACATCTAAAAAAATGTTTGAAAATCTTAACTCGGAACGATCTTTTGTGCTACTTAGGTTTGTGTTGTAATAGTAATTGTTGTTGGAAAAACATTCCAATGTGTGTTTTGTAAAAATCTAGTATTACATTTCCTCAAGTATTACATGTCACATTTTGACAACAATAAACTTTTATTCTCATCTCAAGTTATTTAACCTTAGACTTGAAAATATATTACTACAATGATGATTCGACTAAAAGACTATCACTTCAGTGTGTTTAGTGTGAGTTTTTTAACGTTCTCGATAGCGTAAAAGTTAGCTCATATTTGTATGGAATAGGATCGTTTGCGTACTTTTGTCGCTAGGGGCGCTGTTCCAACTGCATACAAAATTGGGTTAACTTTTACGCGATCGAGAACGTCAAGAAACTTGCACTAGGCACTCTGATTGCTATGCTTCTCTAGCAGAGCACGTGGTGTTGCTAATGTTATGGCTTCATATTAACCCTTACAGAGCCTCTGCCGAACACCAACAAGCCGGATCAAACTTTAAAAAAAAACAAATCACCCTGTATGTTTGAAGCGTTCCCTGAACTAAAACAGTTAGTGGGCAATGATGCTGTTGATCTTTTTTTTTGTTTTATTGCATAGAGACGAACAAGCTTTCCGCCTACCTGGTGTTACTATACCATAAACTGCGATCCGCCATCCGTTTGCGATAAATGAAGCAGAGTTTCAATTGTATTACGGTTTTCCCACCGTTTAAACCGGTATGCATGACTGCTTCAAGGCGGAAACGACAGGATGGTAGTACCGAATTATACTGGTTCGCAATGCACCGTACAATCAGTAAAATATCACAAATCATATATAAAACTTTTTTGATTGTTTTTTGTTATAATGTTTAAAGTAATTTTCGAAAATGAATTTGACAATGCCATGCAATATAACATTAGGTACCGGTAAAATGGGGCGATTAGGGATTGAGAGGCGAATCGGGAAAAAACCGGGAAAATCTTTCGACGCTCAATATAAGTTTTATAGTCGTTGCAAAATCTTCCATTTTTTGTAGTTTAATAGTAGAATGTTGAAAGTTCACAAAACAACTCTGAATATGCATGATAATAGCTGCTAACTTATAAAAAATCGCGTTTCAAATTAACTTCCTGTGGTGGTAATTATTTTAGTACTAGAAACTTTGCTCTCTTTTATTTATTTGATAATAATAGAAGACGACTATGATTTATAAACGTTATTTAGTGTTTGAACCAGCATATATATTAAAAGTAACTCTCAGTTGTTATTGGTTTTAATGTATTTGATTAAATAAAAATACATGTAAAAATCTGTTGTTTTTGGGGATATTGGGGACGTCTTAGGTACAAATAACAACGAAAAAGGGGTCAATTGGGATGAGAATACGTGAAATGGAAACGACCTAAGTATAAATAGGTACAGGTTTGTAGGGTTGTCTATGTAGTTATAACAATATTTTTTAAATTTGTTGGTAAAAATCTGGTTTATTCGAAGCGAAATTGGGAATAAGTCTTTAGTTGAAATAGATAAGCAATTTAATATAAGTAAGTCGATTTTGCAGAGACATGTAACAAGATCAATGAAATCTCAAGGTGGACAAAAATGTCTAAGTAATACATAATAAAATATTTAATATTTGTTCAGAGTGGGGGTATTCATCTGATTAATCCATGGAATAACCGACACACCTAATCTCTTAACCCAGATAGAAATATCAGCCCCTAAGTACTTACCAAGAACGGAGAAATATAAACCGTTTCTAAGAAAGCCCACTATATATGTATAAATATATATATATATATTGTTGTTACTGCACTGTCGATTGCACCTATAATTGAGGTGATGTCTGCCATGTACTTTTGTCAGTTTTTCAATTTTTTTTATTGATGATCACTTTGTTGGTGCAACTAAATAAATAAATAAATTAAAACTATATATAAAAATAAAAGTAGTGCCAACCCTAGCAAATTTCTCATTTCGTCCCAATTAACCGCAATTTTCAGGTAAATAGGGATTACACCTATTTTTGCATTTTTTGCTTAAACTGGAATGCTAGTTGCATAATTTTAAATTAGACAACAAAGATGCCCCCAAGACTCAATCATTTTGATCCTGATATAGCATTATATACATCAACAATTACCTTAAAATTGCTCATAAAGTTGGAATTTGTCCCTAATCGCCCCATTTTACGGTATATATACTTTAAAATTTATCGTCTTCGCATATCTAATTTTTTTTTTTTTTTCTTACCTAAGCTGATAGCCTTAGGGGCTATTTCAGCGTAACCCTAACGTTTGTAGTTGAGCTCACGGGCCTCAAACCTGATGACGTCGCTAACACGAACCCTAGCAAGAGCCGTGCTTCGCAGAATCTACCACCGGATCGGAAACGAGACCCACTGAGAAGATCCGGCGAGAAACTTAGTGGGCTGTGTCTGAGAGTTATATCTAATCAAAAGCATTATTTACACACGTTTTTTTTGTGATTGAAGGATTACTGGTGGCCCGGAGGCCTTTCCAGTTTCTCCAGGACAGATGGGCGAGCAAAGGCTCAGCCAGGATTTTCACATGTCTATCGTAGAATGTGCTAATAAAAATACAATTTCAATATAAATTGGAAATAAAACCCAGCCTTGGAAACATAATATTTATTGTGTAGAATAAACGATAATTTAAAAATGTAAAGCATTCTACATCTATAAAAATTCTTTGAACTTCTTATGCTAACGTAATTCGTGTACTTTAAAGTTCAATTTACATTCAACATAGTTACCTAAATAATAAAATAAATAAATATGCTTTAGTCGCCTTAGAGTAATATCACCTTCCCAATTTAAATAATTACATGAATAGCTGCATAATATTGTCTTATCGAAGCTATTGTGTTACGTTACGGATTTTAAGTATGATAAAAAAAATATACAAAGAGTATAAACCTATATATTTTAATTTTATTTGAGTTTTTATTTTGATCTGTGCTCGTTATTGAGTATGTGAATTTTCCATTTACCTATCCATTATCCATTCATCTCACTATATTGTGCGCCCAATGTAATAAACAGTGTTTGGTTCAAGTCCCTAATAAGATATACGAACTTTTTGGCGGAAACGAGAGGAGCGAGGGTGTAAATTGTTGTATTCTATCCATTTAGTGTTTTTTCAGGTTTAAATGTGTAATAATGGTAGTTAATGAACAGTGTGCTTAGTGTGAGTTTTTTAACGTTCTCGATAGCGTAAAAGTTACCCTAAATTGTATGCAGCTGAAAGTGCCCCTAGCAGCAAACTTCCGTTAACGTTCCAACAAGCTACAAATTTGAATTAACTTTTACGCTATCGAGAACGTTAAAAAACTCACACTAAGCACACTGTTTAATATTTGTGAAAGTGGACAAATGTGGGAAAGTTAAACAAAGCCGCTGGACGTATTTCTCGGCTTAGTCCACTAAAAAGTATCTGTAAATAATCACGATTTCACTGAGACTTTATTTCATCCCATCTCATCTCGTTTCATTTAACTACATTAACTATAATGTAAGAAAAAATTATAGGACTACTTAAAAGTCACGTTACCAAGCATTAAAAAAAAAGAATAAATAAGATATAAACATAATATAGATTATCTAAGATGGGCAAGCAAGCCCACGGCTCATTTTGTGTTTACTCAAACTCACAGACTTTAGAACATGAACGTGACCTTAACATACGATGTCAAACTTTCAATAGAATAGCTGTTGCTTGGAAGGTGCAACTTGCACCCTTCAAACTGAAGTTTAAACGTTATTTAAGTAAGATAGTGGTACCTATTATTTTTTTATTGCTTAGATGGGGTACGAGCTCACAGCCCACCTGGTATTAAGTGGTTACTGGAGCCCATAGACATCTACAACGTAAATGCGCCACCCACCTTGAGATATAAGTTCTAAGGTCTCAGTATAGTTACAACGGCTACCCCACCCTTCAAACCGAAACGCATTACTGCTTCACGGCAGAAATAGGAGGGGTAGTGGTACCTACCCGTGCGGACTCACAAGAGGTCCTACCACCAGTGACCTATCTAAGCAAGCTCAGGCTGGCTCAGAGTACGCGTTGTCACCATTAGGCTGTTGCTAAAATTAATTCATAATAACAACCTTAAGATTAAAAACATGAAACATTATTTGCGAGTTGTAGACATAGATAACCTAAATGTACCTATGGGGTTCAATGTCACTTTTATTATTTTGATTTTATTTTCAGACATTTCAAATACTTTACAGTTTTCGTGGTCACAAACGACTAAGGTGTTACGTATTCGTTGCCATTTAAATATTGTGCTAACAGTCAGTCAAACAACAAGTTAAACCGTATTACTATTTTTAATATAAAATATTATGTCTGATCATTTTTTGTGATAAATTAGTGAGAATGACGTATATCGGTTTTATTTGAATTATAAGATTATTATCATTGATAACGTATGAAATAACGTTATCATCAATGTAATTTTTATACTGATAAAAGATGAAGATATGTATAATGATCAATAATCGAACTAATAGTAGTAAACATCGTACATCCACATAACACAATAGCTCGTATTTCATTTACGGACACCATCACATCGAATAGTTACAAGCATCACTAGATTGAAACAATTCAATTTCAACATATCGGAGGTAGTTCATATAACCAATTATAACTTTTTTAAATTAAAATTTGAAAAAGGAACATTTTGACGATGTATAATTCGATGACAATTTTACTCGATCCTAATTAGCCATAAATATATTCCATAATTGACAACTATTTTAAAATCATAGGCCTCTATACATAAAGTATAGTAACTAACTTTATGCACTGCACTAGAGGTTACACCCCTTAATCTTCAACAGACCTATCGCTGCTGCGGACGCGTCTCATAACTTTCAATATTTATGTGATTTCTCACTAAGCCTACACAATTTCAATTTTAATCTAAGTATTTGTCACACAGCCAATTGACAAAAGTTGATGCATAAAATAACGTGCTTAAGTGATTCAAGCGTAGCAAAATATACTTTTAACTTATACTATTAATTGATTTGGTAGATGTGGACAAGTGTAAGTCGTATAAAATAATAATTTCGCATAATAAATTTCAATGTTCTAGGAACGTTTTTGTGCCCATTTAAGGTCGTCTGCTCGTGGTCTACATCCAGTTACAGCTTCTATTATTGTCTCTAAAGTCGACCAAAAGTGAAGTTTTTCCAATGGCCAGTTAAGCCAGCCAGTGGTTATACAAAAGTAAGTCTCGTGCGGTGCGACGTGATGTATACGATGATGGCGACGAGGCAGCACAATGTGCCACTCTTGTAACCACACCACCCATGATGGCAACCCAAAATATGTGTGCGACCATTTGTGAATCTGAAACAAAAGTTAATTTATCGAAATACCTAATAATAATAGGTCAAACAAAGCAGACATGTATCTGTTTTGTTTGACCTATTATGGGCCTGCGAAAGCTGAATTATGAAAATTTACAGGCAGTTTTATTTTTTTGAATAAATGTGTGAATGCTTAAATGGTTACTGGAGTTGATAGAAATCACAATGTGAATGCCGCCACATACCTTAAGACACGAGGATAAAGTCTCAATTTAATCAATTTTTTTATAGCCTTGATGGGTGGACAAGCTTACGGCCCACCTGGTGTTAAGTGGTAACCGGAGCCCATAGACATCTGCAACCTAAATGCCGCCACCCACCTCGAGAGTCGTAAGGTCTCAGTTTTAACACTAAAACGGCTGCCTCACCCTTCAAACCGAAACGCATTACTGCTTCACGGCGGAAATAGGCGGAGTGGTTTTTTTTTTATAGATGATGGTCTAAAGAGACCATATCAGCGTAACCTTAACTAGTAGGTGAGCTCACGGGTCTCAGACCTGACGATGTTGCTAACGAGAACCCTAGCAAGAGCCGTGCTTCGCAGAATCTACCACCGGATCGGAAACGCGACCCACTGAGAAGATCCGGCGAGAAACTCAGTGGGCTGTGTCTGTGGGTTAATTTACTCGCAGAGCCCATCGTGGTTTTTACCATATGGACCGCAGGATTGGATTTGGATCGGCTATGTAGTTTCCGGCGGCCACGATGAGAAGATTCTCGTGTCGTGCCGCTATATCGAAGTGGCGGGCGGAGTGGTGGTACTTACGCGTGCGGACTCATAAGACGTCCTACCACCAGTAATTCCGCAAATTATAATTTTGCAGGTTTGATTTTTATTACACGATGTTATTCATTCACGTATAACAACTGTCCCACTATTCATAGAGTACATGTGCCTACTTCGTGGCAGAAATGGACTGGACGTGGTGTGTCGTTTACAGGAAAATGCAGGTTGGCGATCGTGGTAAGCTGGTATAATAATCTGAAAACGCTGCTGTCTATTTTTCAATGAATCCCTTAGTCACCTTTTACGATATTCACGATTATGGGAAGAGACAGACTATTCTTGGTTTACAACTCACGGCTATTCACCACTCAGAAAATCACTAACCTGATTCGTCATAGCCACGAATATACAGCACAAATACCAATATGCAATCCAATGAAATTGGTCGTGTACTTTTCCTTCTTCGTACGTAACTAGTTGCCATACTATTCGTGCAAGTACAGGTATCGTTATAGCAAAATTATCACCATTGGTCTCAATAAAGTCATGACGGGTGATTGATGTAGGATCGATGTGGTGCTCTCGAAATGGTCGGAGAAAGTTCTGTAACAGTAGCAAGTTGATGATTTCGTCCATTTACTTATTGGCTATTAAAATACTATCGGACAATTGTTACCTACTATGCAAAGCGAATTCTATTGCTTATTTAAGAGTAATTGGCTTTCGTAGCGGATTTATATATTATGGTAAAGGAAGCTCAAATATAATGCATTTAGCGGGGTATTTCAGAGATTACTCAGAAGGAACGAATATTTTAATATGTTACATAATTAATATGTGTTATTGTTAGTGGCGCGAGAACTTAAGCGATAATACAGATGCCGGTATTTTCAACGCATTTAATGTATTTACTGTCTTAAATTATATGACATAAAAAACGCAGTCTACATTTTATCATCTTCGTTAGATAGAGATGCGCCGAGTAAAAATTTACGAGCTTCATTTTAACAGGAATCTTTAATTTCATGTGGAGTTACAATGGGAATGTAGACTACAGAAGAATCTTTTTTTTTATAACTTCCGTAAATAGAAGTATGCTTTCGGAATATTTCAATTCAAATCTCATTAGATTACCTCAGCACGGAGTGAATCATATATGTACGGTTTTTTTTTTGAATTTACAAACACGGTTGCACTTTGCAAGGGAACTGTTCCCGAAACTGAAACCTTAGTAATGGAGTACCTAAGCATAAACAAAAAACATGAATAATTTGCTTAGCTGAGCGTTTTAGCCAGTTTAGTTTCCAGAATTCGTACTCTAAGCAAAGCTTGCGAGAAATTTAACCCGGTAATTACTAATTCAGTGCATACTGCACCCTCAGCCAATTGCGTGCCTACTGCACACAATGAACAGTACGTGGGTTCCCATTTAATTTGAGGTCAGGCTTCATCATTAGCTCCAGTTTGCCTGTTTGCCGGTTTGCCGGACCTGTCCCATCGTCTTCTGTCCTCAAGGTGAGACCTTACCATCGTAGACGAACTCCTGTTATTTAAGTAATGTCTTAAAACGGAAATCACCAATGCTGCAGCCTGTCACGGATTACAGGAAAGGTTTCCACTGGATATAACACACAATTATACACGTATTATACTAGAGCAGCAGCTTCTACCGCTATTTTAAATATGATTAATGCACTAAATATAACATTCGGAAAAGAATTGCAATTTGTGGCTACTGGTAACGTGTTAGTGTTAAAGCCTTGAATAAAGCGTATTTTGAAACAAGCGTTGATATTCGGGTAAGTGGAGCTGGAGCAAATTAGAATATTAAACAATAACAAAATCTCCCATGTGTTACAAAATTCACTATCTCATAGATGATGTTAGGTTAGGTGTTTAAATATTAATACATCATTCATTACATCTTATATTTGTATGAATATTAATTATGCGTCATAAAAGACAAATGAACAATCCAAACATTTGATTTATAGAGCCTTGAGTAGTTTTTGTTAATATTTCATCTGTTATAAAAGTTACGTAATTTTTAATTTAGTGTTATTTAAAATTAAACAAGCATTACTTTGCCTATTATTGGTAGATCAACTGCTCCCCAAGTGTCAGCTGCCCAGTGCACAACTCCAGAAGCAAAATCTGCTGTTAAGACCCCTGCAAGAGCTGCCAGTACCAGTGAAGCATCAGCCCGAACATATCTGATCATTAAAATTCCGGCAGAGGCACATAGTGTGCAACATAATACCACACATACCCATTCCTGCAATCGCTTGCCTGTCAAAATAACACATTAATAATTATAATAACTCGTAATAGTGGTGCCTATTAAAGATACTATCTTATTGTGAATATTGTTTATTTAACATAGTGAGTTCCAACCTCTTATTAATAAATTACACTGTAGATGCACCATTATCAGCAAGAATTGCAAAATATATGTACATATCTGGACCGAATGAGCTCCCAAACCTTTTTTTTTAATGCACAACCACGCATTTGCCCGCTTTATGGCATCTGCTTTACTACTGTATGACTTAAGTGTATAAGAATCGAGGAAACAATTATGGAAATCAACATTATCAACTAAAACAAGATGACAATAAAAAGTTTGACATCCGTATATAGTTATCACTACATAGTATAAAACAAAGTCGCTTTCTCTATCCCTATATCTGTCTGTCCCTATGTCTGCTTAAATGTTTAAAACTACGCAACGGATTTTGGTGCGGTTTTTTTTAATAGATGGAGTGATTGAAGAGGAAGGTTTATATGTATAATATCATATAGTGGAGTAATCCATAATAAATTACAGTTTCCAAAGCGAAGCGAGGGCGGGTTGCTAGTATTAAATAAAGGCCACTGAATAGAGAGTTTAAAGTTAAGATATGTTGGTATAATTTTATTGGGTATTTAAAAGTAGTATTTTCCTGTAACTTCTTTAAGTATATTTTGAAGTATCCAGTATCTTTTTAGTCAAAAATGTCCAATAATGCAATAAAAATCAGGAATCACTTACTTTTATAAATAGTAATTAAAGTAGTAGGACACATTGTTTCCCAGAGAAAAAATGCAACCTTAACAATGAAAATTATTTTAGTAATTTTTTTCAACTAGCCCACCTGGTGTTCAATTATTACCAGAACCTATAGGTCTTATGTTTTTCATATTCATTCAGAGTACATAAGTACATGCGACTTGTGTCACCAATTAATTAACTACGTTACAATATAAAATTTTGAGTATACGTCTTTAAATTCAAATCATGTAGACATAATAAAATCTAGAGTTTTAGTAGCACTGTTAACAAGATCAACATCATCATCAAATATCTTTTTCAAATCGAATTTAACAGCCATAACTCTAACAGACATAAACCTAGTTATCGTAGTACCTTCGTCTGCTCCGATGGGAGGGGTGGCGTCGTGACCTCGTCACAAAAATAAGAAACGACTTGTCCTTGCCGAGTGTTGTGGCATCGATGCTCGGCAGCGACGAGTCGTGGAAGGCGATGCTCGACTTCTGCGAGTGCACCATCTCGCAGAAGGAGGCGGCGGGGCGCGTGAGAGACGCACAAGCCCGCCGCCGTCGAGCGAGGCCCAGGGAGGCGGATCTCGCCCAAGCCCTGGCCCTCAAAGTGTTTCGGGTCCCCCTCACATGTTGATCTTGGGACCGGCGAAGGGGGCCTAAGAAGACGATGTGCAAGCTGCTCTGCACGCGTTTTACGCAAGAGCATCCGAGTGATGGAAGGCCGGCTAACCTCGACCCACGCTGGTTCTGACCCAGCGGGGTATTCCGTAGGATGACCCATTCTAACCAGCGCCATCTAGGCGGGCTTCGGATAACCTGCCGACCGAGAGGGCTGGTGGTCGTGGCGCCGACGACCGCCGGTCCTTCGTTCCGAGGCGGAGGGTGATGAAAGAAATGTGCTCCGCACTAAACGCTTCACTTTTCCCCCTTTGCCTTTTCATGAGTTCCTGTCTCATGCAAGGTTCGGACGTTGGTTGTTGAGCGTTAGGAGGTTTTAGTCGTGTCGGCTCCGACATGCCCCGCCCGCCATCTCCAGTGGAGAGCGGTAGGCAGGCGATTTCCTCTCATAGTACCCATCTCTTCCTTAAGTGTTATAAAGGGTGACGAAGGGCTTAATCGGAGAATTTATTCTCGTTGTCAGTTTTTTATTACAGTTTAAGCACAATCATTGTTTATAGTAGGGGGAACCTACACGACGACCTGGGCCTGGAATCAATCCCGAAATACATGAAGTCAGCGTCGGAACGGTACTTCGATAAGACTATGCGTCATGATAATCGCCTTATCGTTGCCGCCGCTGACTACTCCCCGAATCCTGATCATGCAGGAGCCAGTTACCGTCGACGCCCCAGAGACGTCCTTACGGATCCATCAGACCCAATAACTTTTGTATTAGACGCCTTCAGCTCTAACACTAGGAGCAGGCTTTGGTACCCCGGTAACCATACTCGTCGAACTCGACAAAGAGGTCGACGTACAACCTAACCCATGCATCAGCTCGCTGAATTTCTCGCCGGATCTTCTCAGCGGGTCGCGATTACGATCCGGTAGTAGATTCATTCGCGAAGCAGTTGCTCTTGAGTTGTTAGGTCTACTTCGGAGGCGCTCGGGCAGCTGTTAGCAAATCCCACCCTTTCTGGCTGAGCCGTTGCTCGCCCACATGTCCTGGTGAAACTGCAATCCCATATGAAAACCCCCTATGAACCTATGAAAAGGTATACAATATATAACATTTTTTTCTTATTATCATCTAAGCTTTGCGACCCAATAGGTCTCTATGACGCTCGAGTAAATCCTCATTTAGCATAGTGGGGTAGCCTCTTCCGTAGGGCTCTTCAGTGAACCTTAAATAAAGCTCTCATGCAATAATCTGACGATTTAACCTTTTTCAAATACTCAAGCGCGTCAGATTAAGATATATATGGTTCATCTTTATGTCCTAGACGTGCTGCCTCACAATCTGACGATTATCTAGGGGGATTCGCCTAATCGCAAAAAAATTTTTTTTTTGTATTCATTGTACTTAATTAATTGAAAATCTCAGGAAATAAAAAGGCAAATAAAAAAGTTTATGTTTTTTAAGTAAAATCCTTGTATTTGCAAGAAAATAATTTAAAAAAATATGTTAAATAAAATCAATATTTTATAATAGAGAAAGAGTGAGAGAGCAATAGAAACGCGGAGAGGGAATATAGGCATTCAACTTTATCGACAAATTTTTGTTATTTCGGCTTGTGGAAATCGTCAGATTATATATTTTGAATTATTTCCTTCAAAATAAAAAATATGGAGCCACGTTCGATAATGTTCAGATGACTTTTTTTTACAACTTTGTAGCCCTTCCCATTTCTTCAAGTCACTCTCAAATTGTCAGATTAGTGGAATATACACTAGCATGTAATTAATTAACTCGCCCTACCTTCATCTGACGCGCTCGAGAATTTCTGATGATCATTTTTTTTTTTACTAATGTGATCCTTTGTGCTGGACGGGCGACCTTTTTTATGAGGTTCATATTTGGCGGAGGTACTTAACCGGGTACAAGGTATCCCCCTGTATATTAATCTGCCGCACTTTAGTAAATCCCGAAATCCCCGCTTGGGCTCCCCTACTATTATGACTTGGTCAGGAATTCACAAATATTGTAACGTACCTAATTCATTTCTGGTATGTTTCTTGAATATCAGTTTTACAATAGTAGATAAGATACATTATTATTAACTAAAACACGCAGACAGTTGCTGAAAGAAAAATAAGTAAGTAGTGGAAATATTAATCTAAGTTTTTTTTTTTTTTTTCCTACCTAAGCTGATAGCCCTAGCGGCTATGTCAGCGTAACCCTAACTTTAGTAGGTGAGCTCACGGGGCTCAAACCTGACGATGTTGCTAACACGAACCCTAGCAAGAGCCGTGCTTCGCAGAATCTACCACCGGATCGGAAACGCGACCCACTGAGAAGATCCGGCGAGAAACTCAGTGGGCTGTGTCNAGTTTTTTTTTTTTTTTTCCTACCTAAGCTGATAGCCCTAGCGGCTATGTCAGCGTAACCCTAACTTTAGTAGGTGAGCTCACGGGGCTCAAACCTGACGATGTTGCTAACACGAACCCTAGCAAGAGCCGTGCTTCGCAGAATCTACCACCGGATCGGAAACGCGACCCACTGAGAAGATCCGGCGAGAAACTCAGTGGTCTGTGTCTGAGAGTTAATTTACTCGTGGAGCCCTTCGACGCAAGCGTCGGGTTCGACGAGAACGGTGCTTGAAGTACCTAAAAGCACCGTTAGTGGATCGGGAGGATCCGAGATGACGTGTTTTGGGCGACGTCGACTGCTTTCCATTCTGTCCGCAGGATCGGGAATGTAGTTACCGGCGGCCACGATGAGAGGGTTCTCGTGTCGTGCCGCTTTATCGAAGTGGAAATCTAAGTAAAACAAACATTCTTTAATATAATTAAAAAAAAACATAACTGCATTTATTATTCGACCGCCGAGAGAATGTTATCTTAGTTACTCATGTAACTGAGTCATATAGTCATTGGAAATAATAAAATTATTACTTAATTTTATCTGACCAAAGAAAAAAAAAAGATAAGGTCCAATACTTGTTTGTCTGGATTGTAATTTCTGATTATAAGTCAATTTTTAAAGTCATTATTTGTTCTCATAAACGAGTGACTTTGTTAGGTCACTATATACAATCCTACTTATTTAGTAAATCTGTTTATGTTAGGTATGTAATGATCACCTCGGTGAAAGTTACGGGGCGCCTTGAAGAGGCGAGGCCGCTCGGTGCGATACCCGCTCCCTAGCGCGTTCCATGACAGCAGCTATACGGAACTGCAGTGGAAGAGCAACCGGCAGGCTGTGTATCGCGTTCCGACCCGGCAAGCTGATTTAACGGGGTATTCTGGGACGCCAGTACCACCGTCGCGGGCGGCCTGACGGGCTGCTGTAGCGAGACCGCCGACATAGAATCGTGGACTATCAAGGGCTGTCAAGTGCAAGAGGAGTCGTTTGATGGGTATAGCCCTAAAAACATCCTTGGGCCCACGGTCTGCTCATACATCTAGTGTCAAGTCTCACATATACCGCGCACCCCCTAGACGCGGACACCTCATATGAGGTTCGGCACCCTGCCCCGCAAAAAAAGAAAAGGTATGTAAAATTGTAAATATAATTTTTTATTTTCTGTTTAGAATTCCATACGAATGAAGATTATATTGTGTAGTAAGTATTATATTATTTATGTATAATAAAACGAAAATATCTATATTTATTTTTATACATATACATATGTACATTTTGTAATTATTTAAGTATTTTATTATGTCCTTGGATTACGCCAACCTCTCCAATTTCCAAAATCATGTCCATCCGGAGGTTTACTGAAAGAGATCGCCTATTGTAAGACTTCGTTTTTTTCTCATATTTTTTTTTTACATATTGTTATTTTGTTTTAAGTACAATAAGGTTTTTTGTAAATATCTATTGTATAAATTAATTGTATAAAATATGTGTTTGTATTGTATTGTAAAAAAATTCTTTTTTCAATATTTGCATTATGTACAGGGTGGCCCATAAGTCCTTTGAAAAGTAAAATTTGAATAAAACGAACAGGGCGCGCGTGAGCGGTGCAGGGGAAGCGGGGGGAGTAACTTCGGTTTCTGGGAATTTAGTCGCGATGGAGCGTTTTACCGGAGCGGACCGTGCGTTTTGTGTGCGCGAGTTTTATAAAAACGACAATTCGGCAACCGTTGCGCGGCGTAAATTTCGAGAACACAAAGGTTTACACAACTTTGACGACACTCCAACTCTTCAAACGATTAAGAACTGGGTTGCTAAGTTCGAGGAGACCGGTTCGACGTTAGATAAACCGCGGTTGGGTCGCCCAAGGACGTCACGTACGGAACAAAACATAGACACAGTGACACAGTCTATTCGCGAAAATCCGACACAGTCAACTCGTAAGCGCGCCAGAGCATTAAACGTATCCAGGACATCGTTACAACGGATTTTGAAGAAAGATTTACATATGCACCCTTACAAAATTCAGTTGGTTCAAGAATTAAAGGAAACTGACGGTATTCAAAGACAAAATTATGCGAATGAAATGTTGAATCGGTTTACTTCCTTCAATAACATAATGTTCTCTGACGAGGCTCATTTCCATCTTAACGGGCATGTTAGTAAACAAAATTGCCGCTATTGGAGCCCCATCAATCCAAAACTTAAGCATCAGAAGCCCTTACATAGTCCGAAAGTGACTGTTTGGGCCGCTATGTCAGCCCATGGTATCCTAGGGCCTTACTTCTTTGAGGATGGCAGAGGGCGCGCAGTTACTGTTACGTCGGAGCGATATGTGGCTATGATCGAAGAGTTTTTCATACCAGAATTGCAAAACTTTTCAGGCTTTAATGCCAGGACGTGGTTTCAACAGGATGGGGCCACTTCTCACACCTCTAACACTGCTATGCCCGTTATCCGTCAACTTTTTCCTGGCAAAGTTATCTCTAAGAGAGGAGACATTTCCTGGCCTCCACGTAGTCCAGATCTGACCCCGATGGATTTTTTTTTGTGGGGCTACCTTAAGGCTAAAGTATACGACTCAAACCCGCGGTCAATTGAGGCCCTAAAAGAAAACATCCGCAGAGAAATGACAAGCATTTCAGCAGTGACGTGCCGCGCAGTCATCGACAATTTTAGACGTCGTTTGCAAGAGTGCCGTGATCGCAACGGATTACATTTAGGAGATGTTATTTTAAAAAAATAATTCCCGTTTTTTAAGCTTTTTATGTAAGTAAAAATTTAATTCATAATGTAATTAGTTTTATTTTAATAAATTTTTTTTCATATCAAAGGACTTATGGGCCACCCTGTATTTTGAAAATGATTATCGACTGGCAAATAAATTAATCAGATTAGGTTTTTTTAAGTGGGTGCAGCTTGGTCATATTGTGAAATTATATAAATAGGTATCAATTATAGTATAAATTTTGGTATCTCGGTCAAAGTTGTAAAATTAAATTTTTCGTTTTATCGCTGACCTTTGCCTAGTCTTTCTTTGTGATTTTCCCACAAGTCTCTTTTTAAAAGGATCACAATTTTTTTTAATGGTGAAGAATATACAATTCATCTATTTCTTAATGCATTTTCGTCGACATATTTTTTAACAAATAGCACGTTTTGGAATAGCCACACTTTAGATGCGTATTCTATGTAGCGAGATTAATTTCTTCGTTGTAGTCAGTAAGTCAGTTGTATTAAAATGCCAGTAAGTCTTCTCTATTAAATAGCATTTTGTACAGCCGGCCTCGTGCTAACAACATTTTCAAGATACCTTTGCATTATTGTTTAAAGTTAAAATTCCGAAAAACAATATTAGGTCCGTCAGTCAATAGAGCAAAAACAACTCGATGACTTTCTTATTCGACACTTCTTTAGCAATACGCTTAAGTTTCATCTGGCCAAGACCGAGAAAACTTAGGATTGACGTTTTGGGATGTCTCATCAACGAATACGACGTTATTCGAATTAACGGTTGTTTTTAACATTTGTTAGGTAGTTTATTAGTTCATTAGCTAAATTAGAATGACGTAATAACGCACTTTTGCACCTGTTTGACAGATATCAGTCTTTGCCGGTTTTCCTAGCATTCCAAGTAATATTGTAGCTTGATAATTAAGAGCGAATATCACTGTTTAATACGCTTTTATTAAGCGTGGGTTGCTTTTTAAGATTTTATCAAAATATTATTCCTTCTACTCATATCTGTCAATAAAATATTTATTACTAGGTATGGTCACCATGCGCCCCACGTGTTTTTTATAATAAATTTATTTTCTATTATTAGTCCGATTTTCTATAACAGCGTGTTTTTTAGATTTTTTTTAGTATTATTTATTATTGTTTGTCCTCGCATATGCATTTTTACGTATGTGTTTATCAAACAATCAAAACACAATTGAAGGTTAATTTGGCGTCAATCTTAGTACAAATATTTGATTAAATTTAAACGGTGTTCAAATCCCGAACGATACAGTAAATTGACAGTAAACAGATTGGATGAGACAGAACTCCCCCGAAGCAAACTGGGAGAAGGTGATGTGTTCGGAGCGGAGTGCAGACCGAGATCTGAGGACTTGTTTTTCATTTCAAGGTATAAATACAATATAAATGTTTAGTCGGTTTATTCGAAGTATAAAAAGTTAGTCTCTAAAACCAGAGTACGTTTGATTTTTATTTGCCAAGAAAACGTTTGTTTTCTAGAGCGATGTAAAATCATTAGCCCCGGTCTTTTTTTAACAAATTAATTTGCATGAAGCATTGAGAAATTATTTAAATTACAGACTGGAATTTTTGAAACTAAATTTAGAATTCTAATTTCAAATGGTAGTTTTTGAGAATAACACTAATGTTCCAGTCGAATTCTGCGGTTCTCAACCTTTCTAATTCAACGACGGTAATACACTCTTCACAAATTGCCGACACCCTTACCCATAAATATCTGGATGCAAAATTGAAAATGCTGGTTGAGAGCCGCTGATCTGGTTGAACAGAACATGTTGTCTACAATAAATAAATAAATAATAATAAATAACTTTAGGAATATGGTAATGTGAAAAGAGCAATATCTCTTCAGCCATGAATATCTTGTTGGAATCTTCTTTTGTTCATTCAAAAAGCCAGAAGATTATATTTAAACTTATGTTGAAACTTATGAAGGAACTCTTCACTTGAAACAAAGAGTGCACAATTGTATGAATGTAAAATGTTTCAGATAAAGCAAAATACATTTTTTTTGAAGGTTTTAGCCTATTTCAATTTAAAAAATAGGATAATAGAACAAATTCTATGATGATTGGTTAGCTGCGTGTATAGAGGTCAACTTTTGCAAGATAGTCAAAGTTCGTACCTTAATTGTGTCCAATTGTACTAATTCAATTATGCCAACATGCAAGTAAATGAAGAAAATGTACATTAGAATCTGTCTTTTTATGATAATTTTTCATTAGTAGAGCAAATATATTTTTCAACGCCACTTTAATGTTACATAATTGTTTGATCATGACCTGCCACGAATGTATTTTCTCTGGTGCCGATTAGTAAGGATATTTTAAAATTAGAACATTGGAATTGACTAATTGAAAATTATGCAACTTTGTGAATCACAGTTTTTGACTGTGTAATGTTGTTTACTTAATGGTGCTTTAAATTTAAATCATAAAATTGATATAAATTCAATATAACATAGGCCTGAGAATATTACTGCCATAAATTATGCCCTAACACAGGAATAAGTTTACGTTTAGGTCCGTGAATGATTAAGAACAGAAAACAATAGTTGGGTGGAAGCTGCTGCAAAACAATTCATTATTTCTAGGACATGCTGATCTGAGGACTAATCAGTATAATTAATTAAGAACAAAATGCAATCTATTAGGAAATCATATATCTTAAAAAATTTAAGTAAATAAAGGCATTGAATTATAATGAAAAACAATACTGGATCAAATTTATTATTTTTAATGCAGAATGTTGATAGCATTGACAATGCTCATCAACTCCAATTGGCAAAAGATGTTTCAAAGTACAAACTGTCAGTGTCTCTATTATACCTGCCATGGGTAAAAGCACAAACAGTAGGCAACGGCTTGGCTCTGCTCCTGGCATTGCTGAAGTCCATGGGCGACGGTAATCACTCACCATCAGGTGGGCCGTATGCTCATCTGCCTACAAGGGCAATAAAAAAAAAGAAAAAAATCATCAATAATATAGCAAATTGACTCGTTCACCCAATAATGCACATTTAATATATTTATTCAATTTGTCTATTGCAATGAAAATCACAATTTGAATTGGGAAAAATAAAAAAAATTACAACTTAGTTAGGCTTGGTCATTACTATTGGGCGGGGTATTTAGTTAGTAAAAACCTTAACCAAATTAAACAAAACTACAATTAAGTACAAGTGCTCATTCCACATTTCTTTGCAAATTCCATACTCTAGAACCTCTAGATCATGCTGAAGGTAATAAAAAAATACATATGCAAGCTATTTATATTTGTAAAATGCTGCATCTACAGGTAGTTTTGATACTAGAAAATTAGTTACCTGGACTATACAATTCAGCAAGTTCTTGTGCGCCTTTATGCCTTGGACCCCAACGTGGTTGGGTTCCAACTTGACTTGATAATTGTGTATTTGCGTTAGGATCATCTTCCGACATCGAATGCTCTAGGATCTCACGTTCAGTTTTAACCGGCGCTAACAGGGTTGTGGCCATAGTGCTTGCGTATTCGAATCGCTCGCAGCCCAAAGCACTGATACCGTCCCCTCTTTTAGCACAAGGCGATATGGGTAACGGCAAAGCCATTATTTGTTTTTTATTTATGCAATTTATGCGACGATGTACTTTTCTTTCGGATGTTATTAATCCATTTAAATATTAAAAAACAATGAAATCATAACAATAAGAAAGGCACTGTAACTATTCTTTTGATTCACAACATATGACTCACTCCAGGCTCATTTTGGGTTTATTTGATAATTTGATAATTTTTATCACTTTTTTCATTTCACCGCACTTTTTTTTGTCATATTTTTACGGCCACCGGCTACTTGACCTTTTATCATTTATACCATACGAAATTTAAGAACGCGTCACCGCTCAAGTCCGATACTTTTTGACAAGAACAAGTAGTATTCATTTTTTGTTTTTTTATTTTTTTATTTTATTAATAATCCTTCAGGTTAAACGTGTAATAATATTAACTGCTTAGAATCAGTGAAACTGTATACAAGATCCTGAGACCCCCAGTTGGGGCAGAATGTGTTATGTATAGATATTCAGTCACATTATAAAAGGGCAGGTAGTTGCAAAAATAAATCAGTCTGCTTTGGAATTCTTACTTTCATTTGTAATACACAACAACTGGCGACGAGGATAATCATTTAAAAACATTTTCGACGCGTGTTTTCTCTTAAATTGTAATAATGCCGATTGGGAAAGTTGAAAGTTTTGATATGGGATCTCAAAATTGGGACACATACATTCGTCGTGTAAAACAATTCATGGAACTCAACGACATTGAACAGAGACTTCACGTTGCAACGCTCGTGACCTTAGTTGGGTCTGAGTGCTATGACTTAATGTGTGACTTGTGTGCTCCGGACTTACCAGAAGAAAAGGAATTCGACATACTCGTAAAATTAGTCAAAGATCATCTAGAACCTGAAAGATCGGAAATAGCAGAACGTCATATCTTCAGGCAAAGAAAGCAGCAAAATAACGAAAGCATTCGTTCCTACCTACAAAGTTTGAAACATTTGGCTAAAACTTGCAATTTCGGCATCACATTAGAAATTAATCTACGCGATCAATTCGTATCAGGATTATATAGTGAGGAGATGCGATCAAGGCTGTTTGCTGAAAAAGATATAGATTACAAGCGCGCTGTTGAGTTGGCATCAGCACTGGAAGCAGCGGATCGACATGCGATGGCGGCTGGGGGCACTGGGGGCAGCTCACAGGCTGCGTCCGAGAGCGAAGGCATGCATCGGGTCGGCGGAGCGCGCGCGGAGGCTCGCTGCGCCTGCAGACGCTGCGGCAAGCTGGGCCATGCGGAGGGTCGGTGTCGGTACAAGCACTACACCTGTGACTCATGTGGCGAGAAGGGACACCTAAAATCAATGTGTCGGAACCGTAAAGGTAACCAAAAGATTGAAAAAAACCGAGGTCAGTACTATTTAAACCATAGTGACTGTGATTCTAGTGATAATAGTTTTTATAACTTAAAGGACCTGATCAGTAGCGAGGGTGAAGGACCATATTACGT